AAGTTCTGCATGGTGTAAAACTTAAAATGCAACCCAGAAATATTAATTTTTTTTAGTCGTATACGGGGTATGTTAAAAAATATTAATTTGGCTCAAGAGTAAAGTACCTTTATATTTGACAATATCGAAAATTGTTATAAAGAAAAGTTAATCAGAACTAAAAATTACGTTCAAATATGCAATTACATCCATTTACATTAAAAAAAAATATTTTTTCTTTTTTGTCTACAATATCAATGCAAATTTAACTGTAACATGTAATCTAGGATGCACTGATAGACAAATGATTTTTTGATAGTTTTAAAACTTACTGTCAAACCTTTGTTTGCTATCAAAAAATCATTTGTCTATCAGTGCATCCTAGATTACATGTTACAGTTAAATTTGCATTGATATTGTAGACAAAAAAGAAAAAATATTTTCTGAATAACTTTTCTTTATAACAATTTTCGATATTGTTAAATATAAAGGTAGGTACTTTACTCTTGAGCCAAATTAATATTTTTTGACATACCCCGTATACGACTAAAAAAATTTAATATTTTTGGGTTGCATTTTAAGTTCTACACCATGCAGAACTTTTTATAATGAATAACTTTTTTTCCTAAAATTAATAATAAAAAAGTTTTCCATATGATTCCAAGATAATGAGACATACTGTATATCAATAAATTTACGGAGTAGGTCGGGTACTTGTAACATTAATAATATAAATACATATACACTTGATTTACTTTTTATTTTCAATTGTAATGGTTGTTATATTATCCTATACCTACATTTTTATTAATATTATGGAAAATTTGTACACGTGTGGTAAATCCCCGACATACAGCCGCCTGACGCCTCTACCGATGGGATCACCCATTTTTTATAACAGAAAAATGGATTACTGATAAATTCTCAAGATAATTCATTGCTTACAAGTTGACAGCCAGTAAAACATTGCATTGATCTAAAACTTTTACGTTTTAAGGAACCATTTTGCTTAAGCCAGCCATACGACTCAAATATAAAATTATATTTTAAAAGGCACCGATTTGGACAATTGTCATAGATTTTTGTCCCAAATAAATGTTTCTCTTAATTTACCTTTTCGTTTTATTCACTACCACCAATAGGTTTTACTCAAATAATAGTGTTAATTTACACTAGAAGATTGCACTAAAAGAGTAAAAGTACCTTTCTAAAATTAGAACTTTTCCAAAGTAGTGTTAATTTACACTGAAAAAAAGTGGGATTTTCCCAGGAAGTGTAGAAGTACACGATTTTAGGTAAATTAACACTTTTTAATACAGTGTAAAATTACTTTATCCTCAGTGCTAAAGTGTTAAATCATACTTGCTTACTTGGGGAAAATTACACTACAAATTAACTCTACTATTTAGTGTGGACCTGTGTGTACTCTAATTAGTGTTGCTTAGATTTAATTTTTTTTACTGTGTTTGTTATTTTCATGGTATAGAGTAAAATATGTTTTTTAGAAGAAACACTCCTCCGGTGCACAATCCTGCTATCTGGCAACGCCGGGCGTCCGACAGCCAGCATCAGGTGCAATACCTGAGGGCTGCCGGCGGCCGTACCGCGTGCACACAAAGTAGACAGCAGGTACAGCGCGAGAGAGAGTTCGCCCGCAGCCCCGCGCCCCCCCGCCCGTTTGCGAGGGTTGCAAATCGACACGCCTCCCTCTTTTTCGCGTCCCCGTGTAGAGAGCGGCACGGGCAGCAGCCAGCGTAGCCGCCACCACCGTCACCGAAGCGCGCTCCTCGCGATACCGACGGCAGTAGCAGTTTGGCAGTCGTTGCGTGTGCTTCTTGGCCCACCGAGACGCAGTCGATCGCAGCAGCAGCAGCCTGAAATCCTGAAGTTTCAGGACCCGCGTTTTCTCGAACGCTCGAAGAGCGACTAACGCGGTTCACGTTGGACAGACTCTTAACTACAATTATTGTTGTTCTGTGAAATATCGGATTATATACTAAAGTGATTTAACTGACCGTTTAAGGGATTATTAATTAAGGTGATTGGCTTAAAACTGTTAGAATTTTAGTTTTTGTATTGATGTTTTGATTTGTTTTGGTAAAACACTGAACCAACACAGTTATTTTTGTTATTTGTATTCGATGTTTGTTCGACTTTTTAAATTTCATTTTTTTGTTTGAATGATATATTGACTTCACCTTTATTTGAAATTTTATAAAATATAATTTCTCTTTTAAAACTAAAACAAAATTTTGAGAGAAATAATTTTTTAGAAAATTATTTATTTCTTATTTGGACACATTTATGAGAAAATATTATAAACTAAGTATATATAAGCTGTATTTTTCAAAATACAATTATTGCGAAGCGAGTTTATAATAAACGAGTATTTTAGGGAAGTATATTAAACAAATTGCAGATTTTATTTGAAATTTTATCTGAATTCTGGCAACATTTAAGTGGTTTTAACCTCACCTTTTTCTAATTTTTTCTGTGAAATATCGGATTATATATTAAAGTCATTAAACTGACCGTTTAAGGCATTATTAATTAAGGTGATTGGCTTAAAACTGTTAGTATTTTAGTTTTTATATTGGTATTTTGATTTGTTTTGGTAAAACACTAAACCAAGACAGTTATTTTTGTTATTGGAATCTATTGTTTGTTGGACTTTTTAAATTTCCTTTTTTTAATTTGAATGATATATTGAAATCGTTATTTTGAACTATTTCTAATTTATACAAAAAATAACAATTTCCTATTTTAAAAAAGCTATTTTCTTAAGGGGGTATTTTGTTTCTTTTATTTTAACGTTCAAAAATAATATATGTTTGGAAAACGCAGTTTTGAAGGTTTAGACATTAAAATTTAAAATTTTAAACAACTAAATGCCTATGTGTAAAATAGTAATGTACATAAAACAAGTCAAAAATGTCATATTAACATCAAAATATTTTTGTCATACTTTTTAATAATTCTTAATGATTTTTTTTTATTTTGGACTTGACGACAAAATCTGCTTTATTTTTATCTACAACAATATTCTGTTCAAATGCACGAAATAAATTCTCAACAAATTTAATTAACAAATTGGTCAATTTTGAATGAACAAAATACAAAATTGGTTTTACCTAATTTGACATTAAAAGTTATAAACTTTAAACAGATTTTACCTTTGATACGTTAGCGAGCGACATACTTAACTACAATTATTGTTGTTCTGTGAAATATCGGATTATATACTAAAGTGATTAAACTGACCGTTTAAGGGATTATTCATTAAGGTGATTGGCTTAAAACTGTTGGTATTTTAGTTTTTATATTTATGTTTTGATTTGTTTTGGTAAAACACTAAACCAACAGTTATTTTTGTTATTTGTATTCGATGTTTGTTCGACTTTTTAAATTTCCTTTTTTTTTGTTTGAATGATATATTTGAAATATAATATAAGTTTTCTTTTAAACGGGCTTATTTATTTAGTAATTTATTAATAAACTCAATATTATTACTATTTATATGAGTGTGGTTCCAAATTGGCCAAACAAAAATCCATGGTTTAAAACTAAAACAAAATTTTGCGAGAAACGATTTTTTAGAAAATTATTTATTTCTTATTTGGACACATTTAATCAATTTCATTATTATGTATTTATGAGAAAATATTATAAACTATATATAAGCTGAATTCTCCAAAATATAATTATTGCGAAGCGAGTTTATAATAAACGAGTCTTTTAGAAAAGTATATTCAACAAATTACAGATTTTATTTGAAATTTTATCTTATTTCTGGCAACTTCTAACCTCACCTTCTTCTAATTTTTTCTGTGAAATATCGGATTATGTACTAAAGTGATTAAACTGACTGTTTAAGGGATTATTAATTAAGGTGATTGGCTTAAAACTGTTAGTATTTTAGTTTTTATATTGATATTTTGATTTGTTTTGGAAAACACTTAACCAACACAGTGATTTTTGTCAATTGTATTCGATGTTTCTTCAACTTTATTTAAAACTATTCCATTTGTACAAAAAATATTATATTTCAACGTTTGAAAATAACATAATATGTTATTTTCAAACGTTGAAATATAATATTTTTTGTACAAATGGAATAGTTTTAAATAAAGTTGAAGAAACATCGAATACAATTGACAAAAATCACTGTGTTGGTTAAGTGTTTTCCAAAACAAATCAAAATATCAATATAAAAACTAAAATACTAACAGTTTTAAGCCAATCACCTTAATTAATAATCCCTTATACATATTATGTTTAGAAAATGCAATTTTAAAGTTTAGACATCAAAACTGAAATTTTTACACAAATAATTATGTGTAAATTCGTATTGGATATAAAAGTGGTCAAAAATGTCACATCAACATTTTAAAATATTTTTATTATACTGTTATTTATTTGTTATTTATAATTTTGTATAATTTTGAACTATTTCTAATTTATACAAAAAATAACCATTTTCTATTTTTCTTAACGGGGTATTTTGTTTATTTTATTTTAACGTTCGAAAATAACAAAATTTGTTTAATGTTTAGAAAACGCAGTTTTGAAGGTTTAGACATTAAAATTTACAAATTTTATACAACTAAATGCCTATGTGTAAAATCGTAATGGACATCATCTTTTTTATCTATAGATAAAAAAGATGATGTCCATCATATATGATGGACATAAAACAAGTCAAAAATGTCATATAAACATCAAAATATTTTTGTAATACTTTTTAATAATTCTTACTGATTAAGTTTTTATTTAAAAGTTGTTTTGGACATGTTGACAAAATTTGCTTTATTTTTATCTACAACAATATTCTGTTCAAATGCACGAAATAAATTGGCAAACTCAACAAATTTAATTAAAAAATTGGTCAATTTTGAATGAACAAAATTACAAAATTGGTTTTACCTAATTTAACATTATAAGTTATAAACTTTAAACAGATTTTACGTTGGATACGTTAGCGAGCGACAGACTTAACTACAATTATTGATGTTCTGTGAAATATCGGATTATATACTAAAGTGATTTAACTGACCGTTTAAGGGATTATTAATTAAGGTGATTGGCTTAAAACTGTTAGAATTTTAGTTTTTGTATTGATGTTTTGATTTGTTTTGGTAAAACACTGAACCAACACAGTTATTTTTGTTATTTGTATTCAATGTTTGTTCGACTTTTTAAAATTTCATTTTTTTGTTTGAATGATATATTGACATTTATTTGAAATTTTATAAAATATAATTTCTCTTTTAAACGGACTTGCTTATTTATTTAGTAATTATCCAAACAAAAATCCATGGTTTAAAACTAAAACAAAATTTTGCGAGAAATGATTTTTTAGAAAATTATTTATTTCTTATTTGGACACATTTATTCAATTTCATCATTATCATTATTATGTATTTATGAGAAAATATTATAAACTGTATTTTCCAAAATATAATTATTGCGAAGCGAGTTTATAATAAACGAGTCTTTTAGAGAAGGATATTAAACAAATTGCAGATTTTATTTAAAATTTTATCTGAATTCTGGCAACTTTTAAGTGGTTTTAACCTCACCTTTTTCTAATTTTTTCTTTAAAATATCGTATTATATACTAAAATTTTTTTAAATTTCCTTTTTTTGTTTGAATGATATATAGACGTCACCTTTATTTTTAATTATTCCTAATTTGTACAACAATTATTTTATTTCAACGTTATAAAATAGCAAATGTTAAACATTAAATCCTGAAATTTTTACACAACTGTGTAAATTCGTATTGGACATAAAAGTGGTCAAAAATGTCATATCAACATTTAAAATGTTTTTGTTGTACTGTAATAATTCATAATGATTTAGTTTTTATTTAAAATTTGTTTTTGACATGTTGACAATATCGGCTTTATTTTTATTTACAACAATATTCTGGTCAAATGCACGAAATAAATTGGCAAACTCAACAAATTTAATTAACAAATTGGTCAATTTTGAATGAACAAAATTACAAAATTGGTTTTACCTAATTTAACATTAAAAGTTATAAACTTTAAACAAATTTTACGTTGGATACGTTACCAAGCGACAGACTTAACTACAATTATTGATGTTTTGTGAAATATCGGATTATATACTAAAGTAATTAAACTGACCGTTTAAGGGATTATTCATTAAGGTGATTGGCTTAAAACTGTTAGTATTTTAGTTTTTATATTGATATTTTGATTTGTTTTGGTAAAACACTAAACCAACACAGTTATTTTTGTTATTTGTATTCGATGTTTGTTCGTCTTTTTAAAATTTCATTTTTTTTGTTTGAATGATATACATATTGACATTTATTTGAAATTTTATAAAATATAATTTCTCTTTTAAACGGACTTGCTTATTTATTTAGTAATTATCCAAACAAAAATCCATGGTTTAAAACTAAAACTAAATTTTGCGAGAAATGATTTTTTAGAAAATTATTTATTTCTTATTTGGACACATTTATTAAATTTCATTATTATTATTATTATGTATTTATGAGAAAATATTATAAACTGTATATAAGCTGTATTTTCCAAAATATAATTATTGCGAAGCGAGTTTATAATAAACGAGTCTTTTAGAAAAGTATATTCAACAAATTACAGATTTTATTTCAAATTTTATTTTATTTCTGGATACTTTTAACCTCACCTTTTTCTAATTTTTTCTGTGTCTTAAAACTGTTAGTATTTTAGTTTTTATATTGATATGTTGATTTTTTTTTTGGTAAAACACTAAACCAACACTTTTTTTTGTTATTTGTTATACTTTTTAAATTTGCTTTTTTATTTAAATAAAATATTGACATAACTTAATTGTTATTTTTAACCATGTATTTTAAATTTAAAAAAATATAACCATTTCTTATTTTAAAAACCTATTTTTTGTAATGGGGTATTTTGTTTATTTTATTTCAACGTTCGAAAATAACAAATGTATAGAAAACGCTTTTAAGGTTTAGACACTAAAACTTTTGACATAAAGTGGTCAAAAATGTCATATCAACATTTAAAATGTTTTTGTTGTACTGTAATAATTCATGATGATTTAGTTTTTATTTAAAATTTGTTTTTGACATGTCGACAATATTGGCTTTATTTTTATCTACAACAATATTCTGCTCAAAAGCACGAAATAAATTGGCAAACTCGACGAATTTAATTAACAAATTGGTCAATTTTGAATTAACAAAATTACAAAATTGGTTTTTACCTAATTTAACATTATAAGTTATAAACTTTAAACAGATTGCACTGATGATTTAAAAATACGATATATTTTCTATCAAAAGCTATTCAAGCTATTTTAAATATTCATTTATTTAACATTTCTTACTGCGCTTAAAAATGGAAATAATTTATAGTATACGTATCCTTCTACGTATGGGTATCTTTTTATTTCTAAATATTTTATAAAATATTTTTTTAAATAAAGTTTATTTATATTTCTCTTAACAATTTTTATAATAATACAGACAATACAGTGTGTAGAAAATTATCACACAAAAAAATTGTAATCCTATATCATAATTTATTTTATGTTGATAAAAAAGTAAAGATTTCAATTTTGGTTGCCTGACGACCTAGGTTATTCTGTAAGCTTAGAAATTATATATACTTATATTGGATGCAAAAATATTATTTTCATGATCCGGCAACGTAATGAAATATGTTGATGTTGTTTAGTATCACGTTACAATGGTTGTTTGCTCCCGATCTGTCTAAGTCTTTCGAAACCTTTTGATGAAACGTATTTCAATCCAAGTGACTGAGATTAATTAATTCGGTTGTTAATTAAAGCTGTTCGCTTTTAACGTAAATTTTTTACAAGCAATGTATTTTTTAGAGAAAAATGTTTTTTATATGATAAAAACTGCCCTAATTATAGAAAAAATAATCGTTATATTATATTTTAATTATAGAGAAATTATGAAATGTAAAAATCTTGATTTTTTATAAAATTATTTATTTCTTATTTGGATAAATGTGTCAAAATTCATTATTAATATTATTTTGTATTTATGAGAAAATATTATAAACTATATATAAGCTGAATTTTCCAAAATATAATTATTGCGAAGCGAGTTTATAATAAACAAGTGTTTTAGAGAAGCAGATTTTATTTGAAATTTTTTAAAATATAATTTCTGTTTTAAACGGACATATTCATTTACTAATTTATTAATAAACTTATTATTATTATTATTATTATTTAAACGAGTGTGGTTCCAATTTGGCCAAACAAAAATCCATGGTTTAAAACGAAAACAAAATTTTCCGAGAAAATTATTTATTTAATCAATTTTATTATTATTATTATTATTATTATTATTATTATGTATTTATGAGATTATTTCCGTCATTATAATATGAACCAATCAAAAGCCTTGAATTTTCGAATAAATTTCGTTTAAATAAGCGACTAAATCACTAGAACTATTGAACGATTAAATTTTAGCCTCCATATTGGATTTTTGTTTACGATTTTATGGTGTTATTTACAAGTTTTAACAAACATTTTTTAAAAAACAATAAAAAATAAGTTATCTAGTTTACGAAATATCAATTATTACTTATTACATATTACAATTGTCAAATAGTTTCCTTTAATTCGAGAAATAATCTAGACGTATATCACTCAACCTATAAATTTAATCTGTCAAACTATGCTCAGTAAGTTTTGTATTTGATTTTTCTTTTTGGAAAATAGTTTCATGCAAAATAATTAAAAATAAAACCCCTCGACCGCTACGCGGTCTCGTGATTTTATTAAATTATTTTGCATTCAACATTTTCCAACAAAAACCAAACAAAAAACTAGCCTAGTTTAACTGATTAAATTCATAGTTCTCGTGATATAATATATGACTATTTCCCTCGTCTTAATATCCACCAATCACAAACGCGCAATTTTGAATTACAAATGGTTTTTCTATGGTTTCTAGGTGGAAAAACTGTGACAGCACCTGTCAGCAGTTTTTTCGAGTTTACCCACTGCAAAACTTGACGGCTGTTGTCACTAAAATTGCAATTTATATTTTAATTTTACCATAAATAATTAAGTTTGTACTATTTTGTGATAAATTACCTATTTTTCAGTTTTCAAATTAATACCTACATATTTATTATGTATGCATGTATAATAGGAAGTTTTGTAAGCTATGAGTATGCAGAATAACTGTTACTCATGAAATAGTCTTGTAAAATAACATTCGGGCATCTAATTTTTCCTGTAAAAAAAATCGAAAAAACACAATGCTAAGTAATATTTTTACTAAATTAGATGCCCTTATGAAAATATTATAAACTAAATATAAGCTGTATTTTCCAAAATATAATTATTGGGAAGCGAGTTTATAATAAACGAGTCTTTTAGAGAAGTATATTAAACAAATTGCAGATTTTATTTGAAATTTATCTGAATTCTGGCAACTTTTAAGTGGTTTTAACCTCACCTTTTTCTAATTTGACATCTGTCAAACGGTTTTAACCTCACTTTATATTAATCTGACATCTGTCAAACTACTACACACTGCATCAAACCCCAAAAAAGTATTTTTCTTAAATATGATACAAATATTTTATATCATGGGATGATTATGAAATGTAATAATTATTTATAATAATTAATAGTAATCCCGGCGCATTCGCCAAAATTGCAAAAACTGTTTAAAGTTTATTATTAAAAAACTTTTTTAAACGTACTACGTCTTAAAAAAAGTTTGTAATAAAATGCAAAACCCACACTAATTTATACCAACTTTTAATTTGAAACAAAGACTCACATTTATCATGTCTAAACATTATTTATGTTTGTGTTGTTGACGTTACGTCAAAAATATTGTGGACCACAGTGCGCGTCGACATATAAACTAAACAACTCATAACAAAGAATACCTGATGAAATACGAAAGATTACCCTTTTGTTTCACGAACGGCAATAAGCACCCATATATCTTTGACGGGACACATGTTCACGAGCGAGATGCATTTAATCGATCCACGTCCCGCAGCAGCGACGTTAAGATAAAAACAGTTTGGTTTTATGCTTTATTTTGATTACGCTGAACAAAAGCTTCCTTATAATCGTGAAATAGCTTATATTTTATTTTATTAATAAAAAATCTTAAGTTGTGATATAAAACAATGATGATATGTAGTGTTTTTTAATACAATATGTCAAAAGTTTTTTTTCTGTTTCAGGCTATCCAAATCCAATCGGACTAGAAAGTGTAAAAGTGACAGACTGAGTATTTAAACAATTCGAAGTTTTTAGTTTGGTTGACAGTGGATTTAGGCATGGTGCGTGCAATTCGGTAGTGTAGGTTAAAGATGAGTGCTAAAATGTTTGTGGTTTTACTCAAGATTGGTTGTTTACTGGTCGGCATCGTTTCGGCATTTAATTTTGAAAATGGTAAGTGAACTTTTTTAATAAAATGAAAGAAAAATTTTAAAACATTTTAGGTACGAGTTACGAGTTTTATTAGGCACGAGCGAGTGTTTAATAAAACTAATTTAGAGAAGTTTCATCTACGACAATCAGAAATAAGAATTTAAATCCAGTTTTAATTAATAAATTTTGACATGTGACGAATTTAATCTCACTTTTTCGCAATTTATAATAAAGCTAACTTCAGCCCCTGACTAAAATGCCAGATACAGCTTGCCAATGTAGGAGTAGATAAAATTTTATAATCCTAAAGAAATAACAAAAACACTATTACAAAAATCACTAAAATTATAACTCACGTGCCAAAATGAGTTTTAAATCCTAAAGTCCGTAACATTAAAATTTTTAATTTTTTGTACCGTAACTAATTTTAATTTTTAAACTCAATAATATTTATAAAATCACACAGAAAAAACGCTAGCATAGCATGAATGGGTGAGCCATTAAACCAATGGGATCTTGTAATCCGTATTCCTGAATAACAGTTCCTATAATACCAATAGGTAGTTAGCACTAGGTTTATAATCGTTTACTGTTTTTAAATTAATAACAAAAGTTATCGCTCCTATATCTATTGATATTCATATTGATATTTATTTGTTAGAATGTTAGAATGTTATTGAATTAAATACTAATTTGTTTTATTTAATAACGTTACTATTGTATGTATAATATTTACATTAAATGCAATAAATTCTTTGAAATTTAGGCAAAATATTTCCCTATTTTGGTTTAATGGTAATTAATTGAGCAAATAACAATTTAGATTGCTTCAATTTTAATGCATTCAATGACAGCGCTGTTCTTGGTACTATGTTAGATTTTTTTCTGTGCATCATTTAATTTTAAATATTATATTATTATACGGGAGATAATAGTTTATTATTATAGGATAGATAATAAAGACTATTCGAATACTTTACGTCTCTCGCCTGACGGCTCACCTTACGCAAACCTCATCATTGTAAATTATGAGCAATATCTCGAGTGTAATACTGTGCGTTTTATACTTCATTGAATTTTTATTAATAACGAAATTTATTTTTTTTTATTTACACATAAAAAGTCGCATATTAGCCAAGTTGGCTAAGCCAACCATTAAAGGTTATTAGCGACAAAATTTATTATATCCTGACTTTTTTCCGATTTTAATGATCACTATATAAAATTATTTAATGATCGTATATACATACGTATCTTACTTTTTCCCAATTTTAAACCTAATTGGTTTAAATCACAGTGAATATTGAAATCAGCCAGAAACTGATGCCTAGCAACGTAAATAATGAGTTTATTATTTTCGTTGTTAGGCGGCGCGGTTATATTTCCCACCATTTTATACGAAAAAAAAAAACAAATAATGTCAATAATAATATTATGCAAAAAATTTCTGGGTTTTTTTAACCTCAACTTTTTTAATTTACATATTATCGTTAATTAATTAATGCAATTTTATTCATAAAGTTAGTTTTGTAAAAATATATCGACAATTAAAATATAATTTTTTTACTGAGGCTAAAATGTGTTTTTTTGTAAAAAATATTAATTTAATAATATAATAAAAATAATAAAGTATTTTTAGAATTTTTTGTACCAAAACTTTTTAATCCAAATTTTATATTAAGTTGTCAGTTTTATAGTTTAAAAAATTTTGTGCAGTGAGAATAGATAGATCTGACAGTGGTCAATTTTTTTTGATTATCCAAATGGGTTTTTTACATACTAGAAGGTAACAAACTTTACCCAAATGGCCTAGGCGATAATCAATCACTTTATTAGTGTATTTTAAATTATAGAGCGATTGAAGATAAAAGTAATTTTATATAAAGTTTAAAAATTTATGAGATATTGACTATTTATTTATAACAATTTTTTCAAGCAATTAAAGTTTTATTGAAAAAATTAGTTTAAAGAATAAAAATTGTTTTTTGTAAAAAATTATAATTTTATAATAATATTAATAATAATAATATTATTTATTGCCATCACGTCACAAAAAAATAATACAGGTTATAATATATAAGTTTAAAAAAAATACCATAACATTTTTAATTTTAATTTTATTTTAAAATGTGTTTTTTGTCTTAAAATATGTAAAACCTGAACTTTTTAAAGATAATACGGTAATAATTTATTTTTATTTATCCACCCTAATTCGGATAGCTCCTAATTGCCTGCTAAATGCGCGAGGGCGGAAAAAACCGATAGTAAATTGAAATCGACAAAATTTAAATAAGAGTCTTTGGCCGCAAAAAACTTTAATTACAGCTGCATATAAATCCTGGCGCTCGGATAATCAGCTTGAGAGTTACATCGATGAATATTCATCGACTCCCCCCGCCGCGCGGCGCCCTTGTTCAACGAATCGCGTAATTCGAACCAAGAACACACTTTTTGCTCGGATGGGGAAGTATCGCTGGACCTGCGCCAAAAACGGTCTTATAAGAAAAAAACTATCCGAATTAAACGTAGAAACTAATGATAACCCATAAGATTGTTATTTTATACACACAGATTTACATACTTACGAGTATTCCGTTCGATAAACGCCAAATTACCAACGGAACGCCAATGAAATACGAATTTCTCGCTTAGCGAAACGAAATCAATGAAGGAATGTTTTTAATTCCATTTTGTCGGGGCGAAATGAAGGAAGAGATTTAATTGATTGAAAAAATTCAATTGCACCTTTCAGAGACATTTAGATAAAAATAAACACCACTTGATTTCACTTGAGCAATTCAGTTTATTATTTCTATACATTTTTTGCTGATTTGCATTTCAGTAACATCTAGTATACAGGGAGTCTTTTAACTTGAAACTTTAAAATACATCAGTAAATAGGCATTTTACTAAAAAAAAATTAAAATAAAAATTTAATGATTCAAGGGGGGAAATAAATTGGTACCAAAATTATTTCTCATACTCTCATCCTCAAAGGGGAGGAATTTTTTATTGCAGATTCCTATTTTTTCGATTTTTCTTCTTTATACTATTTTGCAATAATTGTTTTATAAAATAGTTGTTGGATGTTATTATTAATGATACAAAGTTAGCTCAAACCAATTTTTATTTTTCAAATTTTTATTATAAGACTTTTAGAATATTTTGAACAAAAAGGTCTTTTAAATGAAGAACTGCATGGATACGGAGTAAATAGGGAAGTAGATACAGCCATCAATAAATTATTAACAACAATTTTAAGTGGTCACGATGAACGTTTAGACATTGAAATGGCTTGTTGTGATCTAAGCAAAGCATCCCTATTGAAAATGCCATATAGAACCCATATTGAATCTGATAAGGAAACGTATCTGGTTCTATAGGGTTTTATAGGTCCTATATGGAAAGTCCTGGTTAACATTACGGATTCTATAAGGTTAAATATGGATTTCCATTTTGAAAATTTTTATATTCAACCATATAGGGAAACCTATCTGGAAATACATATAGAACAAATATATAAAGACATGTATATGGATTTATCTGGTTTCTAGGTTTCCCTATCTGGTTCTATAGTGTTTTAGAGTGTTTTTATCTGGTTCTATAGTGAAAATTTTCACTGTGAAATGCCTGTTTCAAACACCTATATTGAACCAGATAGAAACCATATAGAATCCAGATACGTGTTTTTTATATGGTTGTATATGGCATTTTCAATAGGGATTTGACACTGTCAGTCACAATTTGTTACTAGAGAAATTAGGTAAATATGGAATGCCAACAATTATTTCAATATATATCTTTCGGGTAGATGCCAAATTGTAAAGTGGAAAAATAAATATTCAAAAAAAAAACTAGTTCACCATGGAGTACCTCAGGGGTCAATACTGGGTCCCATTTTATTTATTATTTATATAAACGATTTGCCTTCGACTTCAATAAACTTATTAATTCGGATTTTAAATGAGTCTACACAAGTAAGTACTGGAATTTTGGGCACAAGCATTTCTAATTCGCTCAATCATATTTTCACGAGTTGTTGGTACGACTGCTAATACATTAATTTCATTATTTTCACTGGTGCTCGACGAACTCTTTTTTTGGTTGAACACTCCCGTTTGTAGTAAACTGCTTGACTGTACGTTAAAATGAAGCACGCGATCGATTTTTTTCCGGAAAACGCTGAGCGTAGATATAAAAATCATCAAGATTTCTTCCACTGTTAAAAAATCCATTATGAATACCTAACTTCTCAACAAAAACAGGTCTATTTGTTTGCAAATTAATCTTCGAATTAAATAAAATGTATTTCAACCAAAACAAGAATAAAAAAATTATACGTTTTAAATTTAAAACTGATTAAGATTGATTAAATTAAATAATGTATAAAACTTTAACTTTAGGAAACTTATCTATAGATATAGTATAAAAATTAAGTTAAAACATATTATAAACAATTATTTTAAGCATCATTTTGCTACCCCATCCAAACTGCATAATTCAGGAAACATCTGAAAAATGACCATTATAAGGGTCTGTAGACTTGGACCAGACTTGGACCAGAATTCTTTACTTATATCATTTCAATCATTTATCTTTTAGAAAACAGAAATTGATGATATTACCGGTCGGAACACGTGAGGCTCGAATTAGAGAAATTCAGAGGAAATACGTTATATTTCACGTTGGGATACGATGTTCTAACATGCAAACGCTTTCACAACATCGCACAGGTGCAGTGATTAACGACATTATCAAATAATCCGTTATTATCGAGGTTTCGAATGTTTCCACGCATGCAATCTAGATTATAACCGACCGAAGAAGAAATAAATTATTTCCCGAGATTTTATTAATGGTTAGGTTTGTAGGTGATTTATATTGGAGATGTTTGTTAGGTATCTAATATTTTAAGAAAAACTCGCGAAAAGGGGCTGGAAATAAATCAAACGTTTTTTAGTAGATGTAAAAGTAAATTTATGTTTAAATTTAGGTTGGTTCATAAAAAGGGTTAAATGTCA